CCCCAAAACCCCAAAACCCCAAAACCCCAAAACCCCAAAACCCCAATTAACAATTGCACAAATGAAAAAGTGTATAACTGTTGACGTCATATTATTCTCTGTACAAGGACAAGATTTGGATAGAGACAAATGTTAAAAATAAAACAAAAATAATTGGTTATTGAGCCTTGAGATACCCCTTCATGCCTCCCTTCATGACTCAAACACGGGAGATTCCTAGACTAGAGCAGATTTCAAGAGTTTGCTCAAGCCTTTTTCTTTCTGACGAATCTAGCTTCTCCTTGTGATTACTCGTCAGGATTAAAATGTTATATTTCTTAAGGTCATGACTGATCTCCCTGAGGATATCTTCAGGTGTCTGCTTTTTCACACCAAAGATCTGGAGTCAGTCCTTAAAAATCTGCTTCGTCTTCTTCTTATTCGTGATATCGATATACTTAAGAGCGACATGCTTGCCAATTTCAGTATCGTTGCTTCAGTCTCGCTTAAGCACATTAATGCTAGTGATGGAGGAGAGCTCCTTGGCACACTGGTTCTGCTCGTCGCCAGTGACATACTTATTTTGGCAACTTTCCAGATGGAATTTGTTCCAGGTCTTGTCGTTATTGGTTGTATTATAAAGATGAGAGCAATTACTAATCTTATTCTGATTACATAGTACTTCTTCAGGGTACATCACAAAAATATCTAATTCAAAAGTCTGCAACTCGTTCATTTCTTCATAACTAATCACAGCCGCGTGGTCATTAATTTTAAGTTTATGGATCAGGATGGCCAGAGACAGCGGGGTTTGTGACCGAATAGCCACTGATTTATAGTACAATTCACACAATTCCTTAGCATTCAGAACTTTTGCTCTCTTCTGAAGCAGTGGGAGGAGCATCTCAATAGCATCACATTCAAGTATCTCATTTTTAAAACTAAGCAAGAGAGCAACTGACATGTACAGGGCCATTAATTGATCATTCTCGAAAAGAATGATCTCTATGAGTTCATAAATCAGAGTGAAGTCAACAACTCTCGAAAACTGGGTCAGGATCCAGGGGGTAGCAAATGCCTCTATCTCACAATCAAGATTCCTAAAATGGTTATGTAGCTCAATATCATGATACTTCAGCATCATCTTCAAAAGACTCAGCTGGCATTGTAAGTGGGGAAGAGAATAATCAGTCCCTGTAAACTTGGAGTGCAAAGTATTTGGCATGAACATGTCAATATACCCCTTACTATAGCCATAAACTTCAGCCAATGAGAATTCAGCGGATTTCAAATAGACAAAGGGGATAAAAATATCTTGCATGCCTTGTTGGTAGCAGATTGTGTTATTTTCACAGTAAAATATAATTATCAGCAACAAGTCTTCCAGGATATAATCCTTATCTTCACTGTCACGGATCCGAGACCGCTTGATGTCATTCATGACGTTCTCAGTGTACGACGTTTCGGTTTCCCTATCCCAATTTTCAAAATTTGTAATATCGGCTATATCAGCCTTGATGATCTTCTTAATAGTCTTTATTATAGATCAGTTCAGGAATGAAGTACTATTATTATTAGAAACTTCCTTCAAAGCCATTGTTCCTTCCAAATCATTTGCCTTAGGCTTAGATGGTAGAAATGAAAGCGATTCCTCATTCTTGCTTTGCACAACAGGGGCATGGTCCAGAGGATCCAAGCAAGCTGAAATAGTCTCTGGGTAAAAATAATCCTCTATCAGATTCGGTCTCTTTTTGAGTTTTTCAGACCGGTGTTCTTTATTTCGATGCGATTTTCTTGACTCTCTTTTCATACCTTCTCTCAGCCTCTCTGAATGTAAAGCTAGATTTGGAGTGGAAGTGCTTCATTCGGCTTCTTTTCACCTGGAAAGCACCACCTCGTTGCCTTGTTTCTCTTCCAAAATCAAGTTTGACTTCATTTTCCATGTTTGGACTTATATAATTATAATTTTCTATTTTGGGAAATCAATACGGGGTTTTGGGGTTTTGGGGTTTTGGGGTTTTGGGGTTTTGGGGTTTTGGGGTTTTGGGG